AAAAAAAAAAAAAAAAAAGAAATTCCTCCTGTATTTTCTTTACATTCCATAAATTACTTCCTAAAGTTGGTGAGAAGACAACACACAAATAAAATTCAATCCATTACAAGACAATCAAATGTCATTTAACAAATTTGTAATAAAAATCAGGAGCATTTTATAAAAATCAGGAACATTTCTGAAGTCTGTATCTGACTATACTTCTTTGTTGTTCTATAGATACGGAAATCTAATTTGTGGGATGCTTTCCAGAATATTTCCCCATTACGTGATTACTACACAACAATCGCTTTTAGTCCGTCTGGAAGTAAGCTGTGGCTGTATCTAATACTGTATGGTCCTGTTACTCTCCAATTCTCCCACACTGGCAAAATACACAAGTTCACAAAAATTCCATTCTTGGAGAGCAGAGCTCTTGGAAATTTTTCAATATGACCAGACTTCACTTTAAAAATGAGACAAGGATAGACAAATAGCCAATAAGCACACGAAAAGATGTTCCACATCATTCATTAGCCATAAAGGAAATGCAAATCAAAACCACAATGAAATGCCCCTTCACACACATCATGATGGCTATTATCGAAAACAAAAAAAACAACAAAAAATAACATGCTGGTGAGGATACGGAGAAATTGCAACTCTTGCGCATTGATGGTAAGCACGTAAAATGGTACAGCTGCTGTGGAAAACAGTCTGGCAATTCCTCCAAAAATTAAATATATGATCCAGCAATTCCACTTCTGGGCATGTACCCAGAGCAAGTGAAAGCATGGGCTCAAGAAAACACTTGTACACCCATGTCCATAGCAGCATTCACAACAACCAAAAGATGGAAATGATCCAAGTGTCCATTGACGGCATATACACACAGTGGAATATTATTCAGCCTTAAAAGGAAGGAAATTCTAACACGTGCTACACCATGGGTGAATCTTGAGGACAGCAGGCTAAGTAAAATAAGCCAGTGACAAAAAGACAAATATTATATGATTCTACTTATATGAGCTACCTAGGGTAGGCAAATTTACAAAGACAGAAAGTAGAATGGTGGTTACTCGCCAAGGGGCTGAGGGGAGGGGAGAATGGGGAGTTAGTGTTTAATGAATACAGTTTCTTTTTTTTTCTTTTTTAATGTTTTATTTATTTTTGAGACAGAGAGAGAGACAGAGCTTGAACAGGGAAGAGGCAGAGACAGAGGAAGACACAGAATCGGAAGCAGGCTCCAGGCTCTGAGCTGTCAGCACAGAGCCCAACGCGGGGCTCGAACTCACGAGCTGTGAGATCACGACCTGAGCTGAAGTCGGACGTTTAACCGACTGAGCCACCCAGGTGCCCCTAAGGGACACAGCTTCATTTGGGGAAAACAAAAAAGTTCCGGAGAAGGATGGTGGTGATGGATGCACACAACATGAATGTACTAACTGTCACACTTAACGCATACTTAAAAATAGCCACGATGGTCAATGTTTTGTTAGGTGTATTTTACCACAATAAAAGGAATAACAAAATATTAAAATGTGTCAAATTCTTCTCACGCATGCCTCTTCACTACCCACAAAACCAACGAGTGGTCAATTCAGTTCTAATTTAAATATTTACCATAAGCCCCAAGAAATGAGTATAACAATAAAGTTTAAAATTCTTTCTAAACCTAAAAAAGTTTAATCTACTTCTTCAGAAAAAGGTCCATTGCCAGATAAAGATGCTAATTGCTATTATATGTCTAGTTCAGATTAAATAAATTACTAAGGAATCCATGCACCTCTCAACTTTGTATTTCAAGCATGATTAGTTTCATTTCTACAATTTTTCCTTGTTCTTCTAAAATCTCGGAAAGACTTCTCCATTTTAGCAAAACCTTTAGCTAAAATTTTCTCCCCCATCAGACTCATAAGAGCTCATCTTTAGGAACTAGTAGATATATCATCTTTATAGTCGTCAGAATTCATTTAGTCTCCACCAGTTTCAAGTACAAACATGAGAATCTGAGTTACAACTCTCCCCTCCTTAAGAAAAAAGACGGGGGGGGGGGGGGGGGGAGGGGACACCTGGGTGGCTTAGCCAGTTGAGCGTGGAACTCTTGATTTCTCTGCTCAGGTCATGTTCTCACAGTTTCGTAAGTTAGAGTTCCACATAGGAGTCTGTGCTGACAGCACAGCGCCTGCTTGAGATTCTCCCTCTCTCTCTACCCCTCCCCCACTCACTCTCTCTTGTCTCTCTCAAAATAAATAAATAAACTTAAAAAAAAAAAAAAAGTTCACATGGGGAAAAACAGAAGCCTGAAATATCTTAGGCTACATTTTGAGGACCTTTTCTAATCGATCTCCAGTTTTTCTTATAATACCTTCTAATTTCACAAACTTGTTACAGAAGTAAATGTTCATTAATGAACTAGCACACCAGGTTTTCTGACTTCCTCTGAGCCACGAAAGTTCACTATGTTGTTCGTGCTCCCTCTCTCCTCACTCTCAAGTGTTCAGCAAACAGAAATCAACCTTCAGAGGTAGATTCTGATAGTTTCCATGCTATAAATGCTGTGTTCTGATGCTCTTCAAACACGCCTGTTCATAAACATCAAGCAAACAGATGGAAATTAAAAGGAACAAAAAAAAAAGTATCCACATACCCAAACAAAAATTGAAAAGTCTATTCAGGAAAAGCAGTTTCATATTAAAATATGAATTCATTCCAAAGGAAAGAGAAAAGTAGTATTGAACAATGATCATCATGTTTCCTATTTGTACTATCTGAAAACAAGAATGCATGTAAGCAATTACTAACTGACCATTTTTTTCTTGATTTTTAAAACCGAATTCTTTCAAACATCATTTTCTATACATAAGTTAATGGTACCATCTCCTCTACTAGGTCTACTTGTTGTGACTAAAACTGTACAATATGTAGCTGTTATCACATATGATGTATATATCTAAAGGTCAACAGAAGAAAAAATGAAAAACACAGACCTAGGCCTCTTCGGGTTTCTCTGGCATTCAGTTTTTCTATTTATCAGTGTAAAAGATCCTCTTGATAATAAGTTTCTTTTCATGTGTCCACAGCTGTTTATATTAAGTTGAGCCCTTTAAAAAGGCTGTAACTTCAACGTGTCTGAAATCTCCCATCCCTTCAATGTGCAACACATAACTTTAACAAATATGAAATACCACGAAAAGAAAATTATATATATGGATACAAAAAGATCAACTGGAAAGGAATCCATCACCTGGTCACGAGCCTTACCTTTTAGCAGCGGCAGAGGTGTTAACTCAATAGGCTTGCCTTGAGACCTAAACTGTGAGGAACTTTGCGACCTCTTCTGTCTGGCTTTTCTGACGGACTTCCGAGAAAATCCGTCTACTTTATCCACTGATGGAGGAGTAGTTGGTGCTGAGGACATATCCCTACTGAAGAGAAAGAGGCATCATAAACATATCCCCAGGGTGGAAGCATACGTGTGAATTATACAAATTCTAAAACCCCCATATACAATATTCATGAAAACGGGATTATGTGATGAAGAAAGCAAATAAAATCAATCAAGAAAAGTCGTACGTTCAACGGGGGACATGAAATTTTGGAAAAAACAGAAGTAACAGAGGTACCACATAAGCAATATTATAGTTCTAATGTGCTGTGCTGCTGCCACTCTGATAATGAGCATTAAAGATGCTCATTTATACCTGAAGAACTCTTCTCAGCCATCTATTCATCTTCTGACTGCAAAGCTCTTCTCATCTTGAGATTCCTGAAGTAATTTTAGAGCTACTCTGCCACTGGAAAACTTCCATCGATACATTTTCACAAGATATTTAATATTATGAATGGGTTCTGGAGTTAAAACCCTTAATGTACTTCAAGAGTCTACACCAATGTATCACAGCAAAGTGAAATTTACAACTACTGAAACTATCTAGGCATGACTTTTAATGCAATGTGCTGTGTTAGCTATGATAAACTAAACCACACCACAAATAAGGACAGGTTAGATTACTGTAAACAGAACACATAAAGGGCATAATTAAAAGCATTTCAAAGAAGTCTTCTTTTTGAATGAAGCCATCTTAAGTTAATAAAGCTTAATACACAAAATTATGATGAAGTCGTGCATCGAAGTTGAAATGAAAACATAAATTCACACCCTACTTACACAACCAAGTTGAGTTCCCTTTAAGTTCATCATCAAATACTAGTTTTCGTTCCATCAAACTGAGAGAACTGAACAGTTCTTTGAGATTTTAAACCTCTCAAATTATTAAAATGAAGGCTATTTCCTAAAAGTCACAAGCCGTAAGCTCAATTTCATATTCCAATTTAAACAGATGCCATCATTTCCGTGGCACTGAGGCTCCATTCAAGATTAATGGCAGACTTGAATAAAAGTAATGCATATGGGGGAAATACTGAAATGTAATTACTCACCTGTCATTCCAATACATAAGACAAGTGTTTTTTAACCTCTAAATAAAAGAGTAAGGGAGTTTCTTCCTGAACATGTAAGAACAAAAAGTTATCTGGATTATATGGATTCCGACAAGGTAAAAATAACAAAAACATAAACAGAAAACAAATAAAACCACAGGATCTTGAGGTTTGGAATTTTTGAAGTCGTTAGGTTGTCTTTCTTAAAAAAGTTTTTAGAAATCTATCTAATTTAACCATAAAAAACATGTGACAGATTCAAAATGGAATTGCAAGCTATGAATGACTATAGAAGTAAGATTACTTAAAATTTCTCACAATGACTACATCAGCAAGAAGCTCCACATCACATTTGTATGTTGTAAATTTAGGGGCAGCTTTTCCAATCTGGTATGTGAATTATTTAAATTTCACTTAACCCTAACAATGCAAGATTTCAGTAAATCCTGTTCCTCCATCACTCTTTTTGTCTCGTTTTTATTCCTCACCTCCCATCTCTAAAGATGATTTATTGCTAGTATTTTTTTTTTTTT